ATATGTCGGAATTATTCCATTTTCCCTAGAAAACACAATAGAAATCTAGGGACTAATTGAATATTTCCGATCGGAATCGATTCCGACTTGTTCTATAATAGGTATGTACCCAGGGCACCTATCATGGAACAAAATCGGAATGGATTTCGATCGGAATTATTCAATTATTCCCTAGATATCTATTGTGTTTTCTACGGAAAACGGAATAATTTCGATCGGAATCAATTCCAACATATTTCATGATAGGTACATACATACATACCCAGAGAAGGCACCTGCGTAGCTGCGTTACCAGCGTTGCGCCGGTTGCGCCGTCGCGCCATCGCGCATCCCCTCCACACACCATAAACCATTCAATATTCATCTTGCCATTGCTCTTCTTTCTCCTTGCACTGGATTATATTCGAATTTACCTTCTCGTTCTTTCGCTTAACTTTATACGTATACGTATATGTGTTCATTTTAAATAATATAACGAGTGTATGTACATATACATACGCTAGTTGAGCTAGAAAGAACAGACCTTAGTACACAATCTCACTGAGCGTCACGTGACCCCGGGATCTTTCGCGGATCACGGACTACGCGGGCGGCGGGGTGGCGGGGTGGCGGCGCGCATCAGAAAGAAGATTCGTGATTCGCGATGCGTTATTTTTCGCTTCGCGACAATAATTACGTAATATATCGTATCGTATCGTATCGTACGAAGACTGCGCGCTCACGGGAAAAGATGTCTCGCTAAATAATCAACTGTTTTACGCGTGCGCAGCGTCGATCAGCGTCAATTTATATCAGATTGACGAGAGAGAAAGAGACGTAGGTCACGCAGTTCGTAGATTTTATATTTTCGTCAACGATCTATATGTGCGACGAAAATCCGTTCAAATGTGTACCATCGTCATACATCCACCCGGTCCATTCCACGACGATTAGTACCGTATGACGCGTTTTTTTCGTAACCGCAAAATAAGAAATAGATATTTTAATATGACGAAAGAACAATGTTTACCTATGTATGAAATAGTAATTAAATTTAATTTGCTATTCCGAACTCGCAGCAAATTTTATCGATATTACCTACGCATTAAGTATATCGACTTATCTAATGAGAAACAATTAAAGATAAAACTGCAGAAAAGGGGAGCATCTGCCAACGACCTTGACCTTAAACTTGACATATATTATCTAGAGGTGCGTTCCGTATCGCGCATGATGCATCCTTTGTCCTTGTTTAACATTTGGTGAGCAACAAGGATAAACGACGCATTATGCGCACCATGCGAGATACGGAACGCACCCAAGGTCATCATCCTGAGTAACCTTCAACAAATTTTAGCCGTCGCTCGTCCTTCGTTAAAAAGTTATTAACAAAAAAAGTTTAAGAAATAACGTATACGATATCCTTTTTCCATCATATAAAACAGAAATTCTTTGCTTTAAAGTATATTTTACAACTTTCCACGCGAAGCGACTCCTACCCCACCTCCCCCCTATATAGAGTAAAGCTGGAAACACAATAGACACAGGCAATAGGCACAGGCAACAGGCAATAATGAGCCGTCCAATCAGAGCTCTGGGATATAATATGGAACTTATACCCCAAAACTCTGATTGGACGGCTCATTATTCCCTGTTACCTGTGCCTATTGTCTGTGTCTATAATTGTGTTTCCACCTTTACTCTATCTGGTTTACGATACATGGTTTGGTTAGATTATTATGTACCCATGGGTGGGAGGATCCCGTTTGCCTACAGTTCTGATTGTACACACCACTCATATCAACTGGTGCCTAGTAATTTTTTACTGTTTTGCCAATGAGATTATTTTATTTTTAAATTGGCCAATCAGCGATACATGTGTGCAATATGCGATGTGTGCAATCGGAGCCCTCCCCCCATGGGTATATAATAATCAGAGATGGGCATTATTTAAAATAGATGCATTTAAAATGGAAGTACAAAATGCAAAATGCCCATTTTGTATTTTGTATTTAAAATATATTTTTTCAAAACTACTTTCCATTTAAATGATATTTAATATCCATTTTCTATTTGAAATACAATTAGGTTTAAAAATATTTAGGTTGGGATTAATAATTATCTGTTTTAAGATATCTTTAAGAGTTCTTTAAGAAAAATCTTCAAAATATTTCACAAAGAACACGGAAAGATATCTCCAAATTGTCTTATACATCGATTTTATCCATAGGTCTGTTTTTTATTGCTGCACTTTCTGAACTGGTACACACAGTGCAATAATATGAAGTGAAATAAACGTATATTTATTGTTTCCCCCTTCAACTTGCGCTGCACTGGTTCAGAGTGCAGCAATAAAAAAACAGACCTTATTTATTCAGCAATATTTAGAAATTATTGTCTCCTTAACAATTGCGAAAATTGCAAAAATGGTAGAGGACCTTTCGACTTAATTTTTTTATTAAGCATAACACAGTATGATTAATGGGCGTTATTTCAGTTACATCTTGTATAAATATTTTGTTTATATATATATATATATATATAATATAAAAAAATGCATATTTTATAAAAGTTTATATACATATATTACATATATTACATAAAATATAAGATGTATTATATAAAAAGTTATAGTAAAGAATATCAAAAATAAGAATGTTAAAAAATACGACTTAAAATATAAATGTAAGTTAAACATGCAAAATAAATCTAAGAATATTTGTGAACTTGTGTTCGCGTGGAAAGTCGCGCGCCACTAGGCAATGGGAGAGGTGGAATGCAATAGGTGGATATTTAGAACAGTTTCCGATATTATATATAGCCGAAATAGACGTTATTTTTCAAACTTTTTTTGTTAATAATTGTTTAACGAATAACGAACGACGGCTAAAACTTGTTGGAGGTTACTCGGGGTGATGACCTTGACAATATACGTCAAGGTCAAGGTCGTCGGCGAATGCTCCCCTTTTCTGCAATTTTACCGAAACAAGAAAGTATTTCCTAGGGATAGATTGCTCTAGCTAGCATTTTTGAATCATTTGGTATGTTATTCTGTTCCTGCACTAGAACTCTCTCGCTTTCGACAAATATCAAACATGTATCTATCTCACTTTAAAGCCGGAATCCATAGTTCGTTCTTCTCAAAACAATCTCGAGCAATGTCTTATAGCGTTTTCGGCCCGGCCGGGTTTGCACCAACCTGGGTTGGATCAATGGCGTTTTGCGCTCTCCTATTGGTAGAGCGTCAATCAATAGGAAAGATTAATCCAATCCAGGTTGGTGCAAACTAGAGTTCTAGATTTATCAGAGAGGCGCAACCGGTGTTGTGCATTCTGATTCGCTGTTGCAATCACGTGGCTTGGCAGCCATTTATAGTACTCTAGTGACATTTCTATTTCATTTTATCCTATACATTCTATCTCACATTATCCTATGGTATAAGAAGGAAGGTATATCAACATCAGGTATGCGCAGTAGTCCTATGTGCTTGACCAATAAGAATTGGGTCCAAATGCTCAAAAGTAATATGGCCGCTGCTTTGATTCGAAGCCGTTTCAGGTTATGTAGATTACGTTCGTAACCACCGAGCTGTGCACACGCTTCTAAGAAAACTGGACTTTTAAGAAAACGTCAACATGGTATTGGAATTGTGAACACATGCTTTTATTGTTTATTTCCTACAAATATATACATATATATACATATAAACATATGTATATATAAACACACATACATATACATTGCAAACGAAGATTATATCGTTTATAATAATTCATAGTTCGTTATTTCTCTCATTACATTTGTGCACGTTTGTATAACCACAAGTATTTTTACATTATTTTTTTAAAACATTTTAAGTACATATGACCATATGTGATTATTTCGTGTTTAAATTGTGCGGGTGTAGTTGGACCCAAATTTCATTGGCTATGTTCATCGTGCCGCCATTGCTATGCGCAGTGATACATATATAAGGCCGCGGTCCGATTCACGCTCACAGTTCTATCAGTGCTTACGACATTAATGGTCGGTCCGAAACAAATAGCGTGCTAAAGTTTTTCTATTTTGGATCGGTCGTAAGCACAATTTATAAGTTAGAAAACGTAACTTGATAAAAGGCAAATGGAAAGCGTATGTATATATGGTTCGTATAATAGAAGAAATAATATCAAGAATATGAGTAAATATTAAATACTAGAAAAAGAAAAAATTAGGAATAGAGATTAAACGTAACGCACAATAAATACAATTAATAAAATATGGTTCACAAAATATGTATAATATGTCTCATATCCTATTTGTATCTATTAAGCATTTACACATTCATTTCCTTTAATTTTTTATTTCTAATATTTAATATTTATTCCTATATTTGGGAAGTTCTTAATCTTTTCTATTATATGCAGGACTTATATTATAACCTAAAAAGATAGATATCTCACTCGACGACCCTAACGCAGCCATCTTGTCGTGTTCAGCTTGCCCTTTCTTTCTGAAATGTTCGAAACCGTTATTTTTCCCACATTTCTGACGTCACGTAATCATGACGCTCACGGTGCCTCACCTTTCATCTAGGGGCACTCTAAGCACCGTGAGTGCTATGTAACTATGACGTCACTGTGTTCACACTGGCGCTGCAAGCACGAAATGGACCAACCATAAGCAACCGTGAGCGCACTAATCACGCTATAAGCGTGAATCGAACCGCGGCCTAAGAGAATATATATAAATGGAAGGGGCATAGGGCGCTGAACGTGAAGCCACATCTGTGCGAGAGAGAAAGGTAGTAAGGGATAAATGTTCGCAATGCGCATGCGCAGCACCGTCATCTGTGTGCATTGTGCAGTTGTTTAGTATTTTTACACATTCGTACATACATTACACAGATGTATAAAACATGATGCTGCGCATGCGCATTGGGAACATTTATCCCTTACTACCTTTCTCTCTCGCACAGACGTTTGCATCAGCGCGAGCCATGGGAAGTATAGGTAATGTCCGTTCCATTTATATATGTTCTAAGGATATACCTTTCTTCTTATATCATGATATTATCCTACACGTTCTATCCTAAACGGATTAAAAAAAGGCTTGCTACCGACATGATCGGACGTGTTATTGCATCAATTTTGGAAAATGTGACAGGTTTCAACGCTCAATTAAGTTTACACTGTTAGACTTTCATATTCTGCATGTTTTTTGTTACTCATCACATAAGCGGCGTTTTCGATTCTGTAGGTCTGTTTTTTGTGGCTGAACTAGTGTACATTTTTGGAACTTAAAGTGAGATAGATATACGTTTGATATTTGTTTAAATCGAGAAAGAGAGTTCTAGAACAGCCTAGTGCAGAAAACAGACCATGTGTTAGAAGTTAAAGTCGGGGCCATTCTTAGCGAAGAAGTAAGCAGGTTAAAGTTATGTGTTAACATTTTTTATGCGTAAGTTTAAACAATTTAAATGCATATAATGACATATTTGTGATATAGTGATATGATATGAACATAAATAATATGATATGATATGATTTTTGTGATATGATTCCATGTAATGATATTTTTATATATGATTATATTATTTTCTCTTTAATTAGCGATATGGTACGAAAATGCTCAGTCCCGGACTGTCCGGTACATACAGGACAAAAAATTTATATGCCATATTTTCCCAAGGATACTAAGTATCGTAAAATATGGAAAGAAAAAGTGAATCGAGATCCAAATTGGTCTCCTGGCAAGACTGGAGTTCTTTGTGAAGTAAGTATAAACTTTAAATTTTTTCTAATATTTGTTTTACAATATTGTATGTATAATTACATATATATGTATGCATAAACAATTATTTCTTTTATTTATAGTTTTATTTTGAACAAGATCAATTTGAAGAAATGAAAGTTGATGGGAAAAAAAATTAAAATCATATGCTGTGCCTACTAAATTTGTAACAAGAAAGAATCATAGCCTAACTGAGCATTCCCTATCCAATCAGTCGACAATCTTTTAGTGATTTGACTAATTCAAGAAACAGACCTGATAATCTAAAAGAAAATTCAAGGACAATTCTATAATTAACTTACTATAATTAATTGATAATAATTATTTACACCGCGCACATACTCTTTCATGCTATCTAACCAAATCGTAATATAATTAATTAATATATATAATTTAATAAATATTTTATTAAATCTAATTTTGCAGCCAACATGAACTCCGTCTGCAGGAATGTGGTACTTCATCTCATAGAGATATACTAAAAACGTCTTATAGAATATCAAGGCAAATGGTTATTTAGACAACGTAATTAAAAATAAAATTAAATTTCAAAGGTCCCAACGACTCTTGGGCCGGACCCCGGGGCCGTTGCCCCCTCTGCCCCCCTGTAGTTACGCCACTGGTCTTTGCCTTTCAAGCAGCTGTTCACAAGCAAACAAACGCCGTTCATCTCTCGGCTTCAACTCGTACGGCGACCAATTTCCTTGCTTCTGAATCATTCCCATAGCTTTGAGGCGTTTTGAAATGTTGAGGGGGTGATCCCGATTGATCACGGCTCGATTGGACACCACCAATCACAGCGACCGGTACTTAGGAGCTTTGTAGTTTCAAGCGCTGTGAGTGGCTCGTGTCCAATTGAGCCGTGTCCAACTGGGTGCCACCCCATTCAGAAAAATAAGATTTGTTTTACTGAATGCAAAGAATATCGACATTATACAATGTTTCACGGAAGGATTGCTATATATTTGGGAAGGAAATAATATTCCTGTCACAAGATTACAAGGAAAATATTATCGTTTTATCAGAATAAGAAGTAGATTGTACGGTTTGAAACGAAGAGAGGATATTGTTGCTTTATTTTCCAAGCAACCTTAACAGTAAAAGTATTGCCATGAGAGAATCAATAAAAAGTTAAAAAGTAAAGAAATAAAGAGAAGTTCCTTTATATCTCAATAAATAGCGATTACTGTATTAAAGTCTTCTCTCAGTCTTCTTTTTTAATGAAATAAGGAAATTTTATTTTGAACTTTGTGTGATATCTCACTTTCTAGACTTTTTAAAAATAATTATAAGCAATTAGTGTTACAAGAAAAGTTGTGATATTAGATAAATAATGCCAAAGAATGTAAACAGTTCCTAAAGTTTATTTTATATAGTATATTTATTTTCGGTATAGATAACAAAGAAAACTATAATTTTTTTGTTTTTGTAAAGTTTATTTGTTTCCATGTTTATGATTTAATACATGTTTAAATAGAAACATTGTTTGTGTTTAAATGTTGAAAGATTGAAATATATAATTTATTTTTGACAATTTAAAAACTTTCTTTTAACATATCCTCTTCCCTCATTATAATTATATCTAAAAATAGAACAAATTATGAGAAAATGAAAATGTTAGACCAGTAGCATATATAAAATGTTAGAAATAAATAATAAGTATTTTTTTATTTATTATTGTTTATGTTATTACTTTATTATTTAATTGTAATTAATTTGTTTACTAATATATCTTTGTGCTTATGTTTTTGTATATCCCACTAGTCTTAGGGCTCTCACACATGAAATGCATAATAGAGCATAAGCATAACATAAGGCTGCTAAACCAATGAGCATCTTATGTAAATCAATATGGCGACATTATGCTAGATGCTCATTGGTCCAGCAGTCTTATGTTATGCTTATGCTCTGTTATGCATTTCATGTGTGATAGGCCTTAGAGCCCACGCATAGTGCATAAGAGAATCAACCAATCAAAATTCTTCTTTTCCATGGAATGGAGGAAAGGAAAGATTCTGATTAGTTGATTCGTTTATGCACTATGCATTATGCTTTATGCAAAAGTCTGTGTCGCGGCCTTTACTTGAGAGCATAATTTATTCAATTTATTTTTTCACTTACATTTTTGACTGTGCACGTATAATTCTTTGCTGTAAATGTGCAACTTTATGTTTCAAACGAGTGTTCTCTCTTTTAAAATATTCAAGAAGTTTCTTACTTTTTTCCACTTCAGCAAGAATATCTTCCATTTGAATTGAAACTGGATTGCAACTATTGTTAATTCTATTTATTTCTCCATCAATATTACTTATGTTTTTCTGATTATAACTCTCATCACTGGTGCTGCATAATTGCTCTTGAACAGTATCCATGCTGACTAAATTATGATTATTGGTATTATAGAAAGCTTTGATTACTTGTTCGTTAACAGTAGATGGGGTGGCACCCAGTTGGACACGAGCCACTCACAGCGCTTGAGCCTACAAAGCTCCTAAGCACCGATCGCTGTGATTGGTGGTGTCCAATCGAGCCGTGATCAATTGGGATCACCCTATTTCAAAGTTGGAATACTCCATAGATTAAACCCCATATAAAATTCTTCTACGTATTATACAGAATTATTTGAGTAATGCAATAATCACATTTTTTTTTAATTTTAAGAATAATTTTATCAAGAATCTTTACCATCGAGTAAAATTTTACTCCGTTAACAGCAGTACAAATTAAGAGGTTATGGTGATACACAAAAGCGATTATAATGACAATTAATCAACTAACTTATTATATAATACACATAAATATTTTCTCTAAAGAATTGATAAGATTTATTTAAATATAATTTTATATTACTTTGTCTTATCTTGTTTGACATGTTTAAAGGCAGTTTCATAGTATATCGACCATGTTTGGTAAATTTATTAATCTCCCTAGTAAATTTATTAACAGTTTTTATATATTAACATCTTTATAATATATGATGCTTGATGGTAGCATTAAATTATTAAATTGCTTGTCAATTTAATTCACGATTACTAGAGTAGTTTTAATTGCGTTTATTTAGTCCGAAAAAACAATTCGGCGCGCAGTTAGAAAAAGACTACAATATGGTATATATGCAAGTACATATATAGTAT